TGAAGTTTATCACTCCTTAGAAGAAGTATGTAATCAGAGGAGCTTTTGATTTTGTTTGTTTGTTTGTTTGTTTTTTGTTTAATAAATACATCTTTATCATTTAGGTCTGATGGCTGGGAGAAAAGCATAAAGATAGAGGCAGGGGCTATATGAAGAATATATAAAGTTCTTATATGGCCCAGCCAGCTCAGTTCATCATCTCTTCCATTATTAAGCCTTTATAAGAAATAGTGAAATAAGTTGGATTTCATTTGCTTTACCCAAACCACCCCTCCAAAATACATGGGAAGGGCAATGGAAAAAGTGAGGTAATGCTACTATAATTGCAGTTGTGAAAACCTTAACTAAAAAGCCATGGAAGGTAGATCCAGTCAGAGTTTGAGGCAGTGATTTGGATGAGGGTGGAGTGAACGTTGATTTTTGCCACATAGCTTCTGCACAAGTTGAGGCCTCCCAAAGGCCAAGCCTTATTTGCAGAATCTCAGGGCCTTTAAACATGTTGTTATTTATTCTTCCTATTGTTTATTCTACAACAACCTTATTCCTCCCACTATATCCTTTACTGGTCACCTAGACAATACCTAGTTACTCTTTGAATCTCAGCCCAAGCAAAAAGATGGCTGTTTCTACTCTCGAAGATGGAATTAGAACTCCTCACCTCCAACCCCAGCATATTACATGCACCCACAGCACATGGATATGGTATCTGTCATAGTTTTTATGTATGTAATTGTAGGACCACTTGATTAATGCTTTTCTCTCTTCATGAGCTTCAAGTTCAATGAGGGCAGGCCATTTCTTTCTTGTTCACCACTATATCCCCAGTGGCAAGCAAATAGCAACCTCCAAGTAGATAGTAGATGACAGAATAAATAAATGAAGAAGTACATAGATTTTCCAGCTTCCCCTGAATTGAGCAAAGGAATGTCAGGCATAAAATTAATGTGACCCAAAAAAAAAAAATTAATGTGATCCTGTTATATTCTAAGGCGAATATTTGGTTATCTTGATAATGACTTTTTATCCAAAATTATTTTCATATATTTCATGTTCCAACATATGTCTTAGAAGCTTGAAATTAGAAGCAATGGGAAGATTTTAGCTAGCTTGGCACATGGAAGTGTTATAAAATGCACTAGAAAAAAATTTTAAATATATCTATAGATATGTACATACATATACATACATATATACACATAAGATATATACATACATAATATATATGTGTGTGTGTATGCTCATTAGACTAAATAAGAATAGAAAGAAAAGAAAGCTTGGGTACTTCTCAAAATCTAAATTTTTCAGCACAGACTGTCTTGCACACCATGGATTAAAGGGACACTTTTGTGTGACTTCCTTCTTATAAAGCTTTTAAGTCAGAAATGTCATTCATATTTCTAAGTGCCTTATTCATCCATCTCAAATATACCTTCTTCTGATGACAGATAAGTGTGTGTGACTGGATCAATGCAAATGTATCACTGTTACTGGGGAAATTATTCAGAGTATGCCCTCTGATGTGTGACTTGAATAACCTTTAAATGCAAAAGACAATGCCTTTTTCTTAGCATCTTCTTTTCAGTGGCAAATTACAATATATGGGACTTTAATAGACCCTTTCAAGTAGTTTGCATAGTTTTCATGAACCTGATTTCTTTTCCCCTTAAGTACTTGGGAGGGAAATGGAAATAATTTTTGTTTTCAAAAAGAAGCCAGAACACATGGATTAATTTTCTACAAACCTCTGCTATCAAGATACCAATGATAAATGGTAGTAGAAGGTATGCATTAAAAAGGGGACAATACGGGACGCCTGGGTGGCTCAGTTGGTTAAGCAGCTGCCTTCGGCTCAGGTCATGATCCCAGCGTCCTGGGATCGAGTCCCACCTCAGGCTCCTTGCTCATCAGGGAGCCTGCTTCTCCCTCTGCCTCTGCCTGCCATTCTGTCTGCCCGTGCTTGCTCTCTTTCCCTCTCTCTCTCTGACAAATAAATAAATAAAATCTTTAAAAAAAAATTAAAAAAATAAAATAAAATAAAATAAAATAAATAAAAAGGGGACAATATAAAGACATGAAGCTACTATTTGTAAAGACAGAAAATAAAATATAATTTTAAGTATCTTAAGGAAAATTAAAAACACAAAACTGATTTTTTGTTCAGTTTTATACTCATGTATGCTCTTTGAGCCTGAGACTTATTGCTGACTTTTGTTACCTTTGTTCTCTGAAAGCTCCATAACCGGAAGAGTCTGACATGGTTTTCATTTATTTGTTTTAGATTCAAAATTGGATGTGTCATCTAAATAAAACTCATTCAGGTCTCATTCACATGTTCTCTATTGGAAAATCATATGAGGGAAGGTCTCTATATGTTTTAAAGGTAAAAATAATTTTTTTTTATTTAGTAAGCATAAAAACATTTATTTATTTAGTAAACATTCATCTTTTTCAAGTTTGACTTATGGGAAAAAATGAAATGGTCTTTCACAACATCTCATATTTAATATCATCTGATAATTTCCCTTAGATTTTTGGGCCATATTTAATTTTTGCCATTGAGTATTCTAGGGAATGCTATTTCTAACATAGAGTTGTTGATGCACTTAAAAATAATGGCATTCAAAATTATTGTGAGCTGGTGCTTCTTAAGGTGAACCAATGCAAAAATGTATATGTATAAGAAAGTATATGCCCTTCCCAGACTTTGACCCTACATTCTCTCCTAGCTACTTACCCAGAGCTCTCTATCTCTTCTCAGCCAAACGTCTGAAAAGTTTTCCTTATATCACTGTTTCTATTTCCTTACCTCCCATTCAGACCTTGACTCAATGGCCTTCACCCCCATGGCTCTTCTAAAATTTCTCTTGCTGAGACCAACAATGACTCCTAGTTGGTTCTCCTTTGTCTCTGACCATACCCTCCTGTCTCACTCACTGGCCCCTCTCCCCTTGCCCTTCCCATGGGTTCTGATCATCCCAGAACTCTCTGCTCAGATCTATACTCTCCTTCTACCAACCTCTCTAGATGGACACTTCCACCTCCATGGTTTCAACAATCATTCCAGAAATTTCTATTTAATTGGGGTCCCCTCTCTGGAGCTTTACATTCGTATGTCATTACCTACTTGACCTTCTCATCTCAATTTTCACAAAAGCACCTCAGACTCAAAATGGCACCATTCTGTGACTGCAGTCAAGAAGCATGAACATCATCCTAAATTCCTCTTTATTTTTACCACTTCCTTTAAATCTACCACTGAGAACTGACAATTCTCTCTTCTAAATATCTTTTGGATCTGCTGCAGTTCCTTCTCTTGTCTTCCTTACTCTTGCCCTAACTTATCTCTGGATCTCATCTCCATGGACTATCGCAATAAAGCATTCAGTACGGAGTTCCTTTCAAGTTCCTATCCTCGCCCCTCTCATACTCTAATCCGTCACTACTGTCAGCATGACCTTGTGTCCATCCGTGCCTTTGTCTCTCTATCTCACAGACATACCCCTCTCCCATGAAATACACGATGAAACCTTATCTCTTTTACATAAGATCCAGGGATTTCACGTGTTCTCTGCCTCTGTGTCCCGTTTCATTTGCCATTTCTTCTTCATACCCCAAAAACAGTTCTTCAAAGAGGATGTGTCCAGATTCTCTTCCAAGCTTGAGAATCTGGACAAGCTTCTCAAGCTTCAAGTCTTATCCAACTACTCAAGTGTTCCTCCCCTGAAAAGCTTTATTTTATTCTCTGGGAAAATTAGACATTACACCCCATGCTCCCTAAGCAACTTATGCATGTCCATATCACAATGATTGATTGTTCCCATTTCTGCCCTCCCTATTAGCATATAAACTCTTTGTCTTTTCATCTTTGAATCTCCAGTGTCAAGCACAGTATCAAAAAAGGATCTCCTGAAGTATTACTTGAGTGAAGTAATGAATGAAAACTAGGTCCCCTATGAATATAATGTTAATAGCTACCTATTTGTTATTGAGTTAAAAACCTCATTTAAGTAATATTGATATAATGACATTATAAAGAAAACTCTGTCACTTGATTTTACAAATCAATTTGCTTTGCTTTCCCATTTTGTGTTGTAATAAAATTTGACTTTGTACAGCAATAAAACTTAATTATTGCTGGGGTACCTGGTGGCTCAGTCAGTTAAGTGTCTGCTTTCAGCTCTGGTCATGATTCCAGGGTCCTGGGATCGAGCCCTGCATTGTGCTCATTGGGGAGTCTGCTTCTCTCTCTACCCCTTCCCCCGCTCCTGCTCTCTCTTTCTCAAATAAATAAAATCCTTTAAAAAAATTTTAAAAACATAATTATTGCTTTAAGAAATACTCTTTGTGATTCTGATTCTCTTGGAGGAGGGGGTTAGGAGGAAGAGGAATTTAGCTTTTTACTTAACAATCACATATGATATTGAAGGAGAAGCAAATTTGGGGCACCTGGGTGGCTCAACCAGTTAAGCATCCAGCTCTTGATTTCAGCTTAGGTCATGGTCTTGGGGTCATGAGATCAAGCCCTAAATCAGGCTCTGCACTCAGTGTGGAATCTGCCTGGGATTCTCTCTCTCCCTCTCCCTCAGCCGCTCCTCCGGCTCACACACGTGCTCTTGCTATAAATAAATAAGTAAAATCTTTTAAAAAGAGAAAGAGAAGCAAACTTATTTAAGGGATTGCCCTTTTTTGTCTATTTTCCTGTTAGATTTGTAATTAAGGCAATACATTTATTATTTCTACATAAACAGGCCTGGACTTCAGAAATAGATAGGAAATTTCTGTATCTTTTTTGTGGGCTATCTAATGACTCAAACTATAGTGAAGAACTGCACTGAAATCTTATTAAATTATGTTGATCAATGACTTTAAAAATAAAAGCCTGAGTTGGTTACTATAAATGCTCTTGTTTTCAGCTGGGCAGAAGGTCACGAACTTACAAAAGAGCTGTCTGGATAGACTGTGGTATTCATGCAAGAGAATGGATTGGTCCTGCTTTTTGCCAGTGGTTTGTAAAAGAAGTAAGTTAAACCCTTTATACAATGTCCGTTTCAACTAACTATTGCTTCCCATGTGTTTTTATTCTGCTCAAGAAGCAAAACCAGGAACTTAAAGCCAGCAATACCTGATTGAATGATAACACCTTGATTTTGGCGGGTTACTTTCATGGTTCTGAAAATTCCTCATTACTCTGGTTCAGTTTATCCTCACCTCTGTCCTCAGAGGTTGGAGTTACCAGCCCTCATTAAAAGAAAGGATCAGAGTTTCAGAGCATTTATTAGTTTGTGGACAAATTAGGAACCAACCAGGCAACTGATTTATGGTAAAAGGCTAAACATCTAATTTATGGTGCTCCAGAGCAGTTTCTCATACAATATCAAACTTGGAAAATTCTGTACCACTTATCACAATGATCTCATATATGTAACAATAAAGGGATGAGCAAACAATTGCATTTTGCTTTCCTGCTATAGATCTGTAATATAACACCAAAGCCCCTTTGCGTCTATGGATTTTACGTTCTCAGTTTTACTACTTTTCAGTAATTCTAATGGTTGAAGATTCATTGTGATTTCTTATCAGAGGTTTCATTTAAATTATAACTCTTCTGAGGCTAGTGTATCAAGTGGGTCCCTATTCCAAGCATGGGTCAATGGAGGGAACCTCATGGACCAACATCTTAATCTGCTTTGTTATTTTCTATTCATCATCCAGAATGCAATGATTTCCATGGCTATTTTTAAACTTATTTGGTTTTTTTGGAAGATTCTTAAAATCAACCACTAGTACTGGTAATGAAAGTGAAGAAGTCTAAGGATATGAAGTTTCAAAGCCAGAAAATAACCCTACAAATTTCTTTAGTCCTATATTTATAGGGAACCATTAAGAACACAAAAGATCTTTAAATATTTTAGTTCTATTTCACTGTTTTTTGTGGGAAAATTAGGTGCCCTGCTGAGGTTTGTGATTTTGAGAGCGCTCTTTCTCTTGGGAAAATATACCTCATAAGTGTCAAAAATGTACTAAATTTGCAAAATCTGCCTCCTGCCACTACCATACCCACATACATATCTTCAATTTTATAAATATGATGTAGTAACAAAAATTTTTAAATCATTCCCACTCAGTGCATTTAGGAATTCATATTCTCTTAAAATAAAATTTCATCCTGGTAGGACAAATGCAAAATCTAATAAATCAATTCTAGGAGCATCCGGGTGATGCTCAGTTGAGCATGAAACTCCTGGTTTCAGCTCAGGTCTGATCTCAGGGTCATGAAATCAAGCGCTGTGTCAGACTCTGCACTCTGTGTGGAGTCTGCTTGTCCCTCTCCTTCTGTCCTTCCCCTCTGCCCCTCTTCCTGCTCATGCAAGCACGCTTTCTCTAAAATAAATAAAATCTTTAAGAAAAAGAAATTAACTCTATTACCTTGTGTTAAATATCTGTTGTTATACATACAACATATTGCCTGCTTTCTTAAGTTTCAAAAAGAAAAAGAAGAAAATTGGATAAGTATAGAACATCTGTTGTTAATAAACTGTGGTCTTATGTTAAAGGATGTAGGAATGTATGTCCCAAACATTTTACCTTACCCTCACATGTGTAACTTCTTTACAACACCTAAACTTACTTTACTGGTTCATGTGGTTGTCTGTCTCTTCCTGTACCAATGCCAAGGGCAGATACTATCCTGTTCATTGTTAAATCCTCAGAACCTACAAAATACGAGGTATATAACCAATCTTCAAATATTAGTTAACGAATGGGAATAATGAGAATCCAGTGATAATGATGTGGAAAGATTTCAGGGAGAAGACTTGTCCAATCATCTCATAGGAAATAAATGGTACCACCTGGACTTTTACAATGCACAATCTGTACAGCCATATATGACAACCCTATACCCAAGCTAAGTTTCCAAGAAAGAGGATAACACAGTATAAACATGGAAAAAGGATGAGGCATATATAATGACTGTCAATCAAGGGTTGTTGACTTTAGAGGAAGAAAAAGAAGCATCGATTAAGATTAGGCTCCATTTCACCCAAGAAGGAAAAGGCCTCATTCTTCTTTCACCAGGCCATCGTCAAGCACGCACATGACTCTGGCCGTTTCCATGTCTCTGCTACTCTTTCCACACCCCTATCACTCTCGCAGTTTCAGGCTGCCCACGTGCTCCTCCACTTAATCACTTAAATTTCACCTCTGAGTCAGGGCAGCAACCAGAAATTGGGAAAAGAAGCCTTAGAGGTCACTAGTATCTGTGACCTTGTGGAAGCAGTGGGGCTGCCAAGGGGGTAGAAGTGACTGGAGTGGTTTAATATTTACACTTTACAGGCTTGTAAGAGATGCTCTCATCTTGCTTCTTTGAAGGCTCCTTCCCATTTATGGTGGTAGTGGGGACAAGGAGAAAAGGAATGTCAATGATTTCAATAACTTTAAACCTGCCAAGCATTAGAACACCATCTCTTCTACACTAATTCATTCTCTTATTAATCCTCAGTCTCCCAAAGCAGACAGGAGGCGTCTGGTCCAAGAGGGGTTCCGGGCAGTGTCCCTTCCACAGGCCATCTTCCCTCTAGCCCAGAAGTCCAATGGCTTTCAACTCATCTCATTTCTGTGCCTTCTCTAGGGGCACCAGGGAACTTCTGGGCTCTTTCTCTGCCTTCTAGGAGGCTCTAAGGGGCTGGGTCTAGTGCTCTCAGCCAGCTTATACCACACTGCCAGTTGTCTCCTCCTGCACTTGAACATATTGGCACGGGAGGATCAAGTGAGGTGATGTCCTCTCAGAGAGATACATGGTGAACAGAATAGAGGTCCTCTTTCTTCCATTGTTTACCCTAATCTCTCAGTAGTTTCTACCATCTCTTGATTTCCCTGGAATTTCAACCCCAGGAGAGGGGGGTGGGTCAGAAGCCAAACATTTGGCTTCCCACTTCTGTCTTTCTTGAATGTTTTCCCCAAACCAAAGGGCCTAAAACAACATTGATAACCTGATATGGTTTCTGTGGGCCAGCCATCCAGGTGCAACTAGCCAGGTACCTGTGGCTCAGGATCTCTCACAATGCTGCAGTCAAGATGTCATCTGGAACTTCAGTTATCTCCAGGCTTGTTGGGGGAAAATCTGCTTTTGAGCTCACTCAGGTGGCTGTTAGCAGCCAGAGGCCCTCCATTGCTGTAAGCAAGAAATATTCATTCCTTGCCACATGGGCCTCTCCATAATACAGCCCACAGCAAGCAGCCTGGCTTCCCTAGGAACAGAGGAGGGAGGGAGGAGGGAAGGAGAGAAAGCAAGCCCAAGAGGAGACCAGTCTCTTTGTAAACTAACCTCAGAAGTGACATCCTATCACTTTTGCCGTATTCTGTCCTTTAGAAGTGAGTCAGTAGTTCCTGACTACGTCCAAGAGGTAGAGTATGGAACACAAAACTGTGTACCAAAATGGGAATCATTGGAGACCCTTAAAGGCTGCCCTCCACACTTTGGTGGGACTTTACCTCAGCTAGCCACCACTATAATCTTTGCATCCTTACTAGAACATGAACTAGGAGAACATTTTATCAAGCCCTTCTGGGATCCTTACAGCAGCTTGCCTAGAAGTTCCTTGCATAAGGGTGCCTGTGTGGCTCAGTCAGTTCAGCATCTGACTCTTGATTTCGGTTCAGGTCGTGATCACATGATCGGTGAAATCCAGCCCAGCGTCTGGTTCTGCACTTGAGTGGGAAGCCTGTCTAGGAATCTCTCTCTCTGCCCCCTCCCCCACTTGCATGTGTGTGTGCCTTCTCCCTTTCTCTCTCTCAAAAAAAGAAGAACAAGAAGTGGTAGAAGTAGTAGTAGTAGTAGTAGTAGTAGTAGTAGTAGTAGTAGTAGTGGTAGTAGTAGTAGAAGTTATTTGCACAGCAGTTGATAATTAGACAACCCTGGTTTGGAATGGAAGCTCTGAAATTCACTAGCTGTGTGATCTTGTGGCAAGTTGTTTACCCTCTCTGAACCTCAGTAATATATGACACACTGGGTTATTGGGACAATTAATTGATAAATAAAATACACTTAAAAAATACACTTAATTGCTTGCCTTATAATCCCTTAATCAAATCAATTCTCAGTAGCAGTAGTATCAGCAATTTGATTTTTTTTTTTTATGTTTAACATTGAAAAATACTCTGTTACACTCATACTGCTATAGGGAACTTCAATAAGAACCATGTAGCATCCGTTAAATAATGGAGTGGAACTCAAATAAAAGGAGCAATGGGTAGGGCTTGCTTAAGGGGTAAGCACAGGAGCTTTTGTGCTCTGGTTGTGAGTGTTGGTGGCTGCTGGGAAATGGAACCAGACCTGCAGGGGACCCAAGAACTTGGGAGTCTGGCCTATGCACCCTTGCTCCCTTCTTGGGTTTCTGGGGTTTCAGGGGAGCCTTTGGCCCTTGAGGGTATTTGGAGGCTGTGCCCAGAAGAGCAGGAGCAGGAGGGCCCCCGGAGACAGGCTGTACCTTGGGCCCAGAGTTAGCCAGCTTCTGCCTGAGGCAATGGTTTTCTTCCTTCAGCCTTTGGAACTCACTCTCTGCCCTCAGAACAGCCTTCTGGCTCTCCTCACTTCTCCTCTCCAACAAGAGGCACTCCCAGCCATGCAAGGAGGAGATTTTCTGCCATTCTTAGCACAGGTCGTGGGCCATCTTCTTCTGGAGGCCTAAGTTCCAGTGGGCAGCATCCGCCTTCCTGCGCACCTTGGCAAGTTCGTTCTTCACTTGCAGGCAGCGTGCCTTCTTCTCCACCATCTTCCTCTCCAGGTGTTTGATGTGCTCTTCGCACAGCTTAGGCTCTGCCTCCAGCTTCAGGCACAACTTCTGAATCTCAATTTCCAGGAGGGTGTTTTGAAGGTGAAAAGATACTTGCTCAGCTTGGTGGATTGTTTTGTTTCTTGGGAGCTCTTCATTCCTCTTGATGTGACTTCTTCAGTGCCCTGGGTGGCTTTCCTTTGTTCACGGGGCTCCCGCCTGAGGGCACAGGGTCAGTGGAGGAG